CACACACACACACACACACACACACACACACACACACAACCTCTCGTCAATATGCGTTTTTCCCATTGCATTGCTGCAAAAAACGCATAAAAAGTCCAAAGTCAAGAAAATGCCATTGGCTGCATTGTAATCAACATCTACATATCACTGAATCGTGTTTGCGAAACGGAACATGTAAATACAACAAATCACGTAGAAATATTATCCTAGAAGCGGCAGAGATTATTTAAAAAGGGGGTTTCTTGAAAGGGCATATCTTTTGTGGCAAGGCATTTCAGTAAGTCCGGAATATCGGTCGAAGTGCGCTCCATTTTGGCGCATTCCGTCCAAGATTTCGTCCATGTCGACATTCATGTCCGTGTACGGAGGAACATCATCTCCAAGCGGAATTAAGACCAACATAAATATATAGAATATCCTTGCAAAGTTTTAGCTTCGCAGCTTGTTCGATAAGCGAAATAACCGAGAAAATGGCATTTTTATATTCTCTAAATTTCACGTTTCTTAGCTCTCCCCTTAGCCTTCACTTCCTGAAAGCAATCTTAACACTTACAGAGTGACTTTTTGACATGCTTGGCCTGGTTTTCAGCTCTTATAATAAATTTTAACGCCCATCTCACCGACTAATTTCTGTCTCGAATTCCTTCAGTCTTTTCAAGGTGTTTGCTTCCTACTGCAAAAAAATGGACATCTCTCGGAAGGTTGCAGTTTTGCCAACACGCTCACTAACACGCAAACGTCACAACGATAGTTACAGGTGTGAGCGTTATGAGCTATTTAAGTGATGGTCATTTGCAGATTGATCGCTTCTGGTGCAAACTTATCGCAAGCTATGGTTTGGACAATCGTTTGCCGAGAAAGTGGTCAAGAAGGTAAAATTTAGAGCTCCTTAATTCTCGCCCACATTTATAAGTCGTTTTGGTGAAAGGCAACTATATCTGGAACTGAACACAGTAGGTGTTGTAGAAATTTAAGAGATATAAACAGTGAATATCGCTGGCTAGGAGTTTGGAAGAGGACAGGGCCTGAAATGTGTTAACATATGCAGTTTGTTTGGCTTGCTGGCTCAGCACTTTTTCTGGCAGCAACCACTCACTGGTAGAGCTATTGATGATTGCCTCTTTCGAGAGTTGCATAGAAGCAAGCTGATAGCATTAAATTAAAATATGACGGGTGTTTAGGGGAATAGGGTGGGGTAGAGGGAGGGCAAGATGCCGCAAGCTTTCTGTGCCTCGAAGTAAGTTCACCACAATTTATGCTGTGATTTGACTGCGATGATTAGCTTCTCAGCTGTCAATTTTTTCTTTTTTAAGTTTTACTCGAATTCTAGATCCTTTCACTGGGATCTCGAGTTGTTTGTCTTGATTTTTCAACCTTTTAACTCAAATTTTAAGATATTCAAATCAGCTTTTTCCTACATGGCCAATTTTAGTGCCAGCTGGATCGAATAGAGGGATGGCTTTCTTTTGAGCAGTCCCCCTGACTTTCTTCAAACTTGCATTTTCCCCAGCGAACGAGCATTTGCCGGAAAAACAACCGAACTTCGTGCAAAAAACTGGGAGCCATGCACACTAGAAATCCACGCGGCCCCGTAATGCAATGCCTTCATCCCAGCCGACGCCCTTTCCCTTTGTCAGACTCAGCAAAATGCCCTCCTCTTTCACCCAGTGAACCTTTCCCTCCTTTCCCATTTCCCTCTCCGTTTTTGATTTTGCTTTTTGGCTGACTGTATTTGCCGATAGTTTCATTTTATCTGGATTTCCGTCCGCGTAATCGATGATTTTACCATCCACAGCATTCTTCTATTTTCCGCATCAGTGTTACTTTCACTTTTTTTAAAATTCCAGATCAAGTTTTGTACACGTTTTCAAAGGCTGGCGACAGCGTTGCGATCGGTCGTGATAAACGTCAATGCGCTATCAAACTAGGCTCGAATGCGCAAGGTGTCAGTCGTGTACATCTGAAACTTCAGCTTCAACCAAATGGCTCAGTTCGGTTTCTTCCTTTTTTCCTGAATGGTTATATAGGTGTTGTGTTTGCAGTGGTTCGCTCATTCGCGTTAGACAGGAGGTTCACAGAGACAGTAATTTTTTGAAAAAAACATAGGAATTTTTGTTTTTTTTTTTTGAAGAACCGTATTTTTTTAATTTTTATGCTTTCTGAAAAACGGTTTTTTTCTCGTTTGCTAATGAAGTCGATTTTGCAAACCTGGGGCGCTATTTCACTGTATATAAGGGTGAATTATACC